CAAGCAGATGAATTGGCCTATTAATATTGAGCCAGACATTGTTATTCTTTTCTCCCTTCTTCCTTATTAAGAGAACACCAATTTTGTTTGAAACATCTATTAGTCCAACTTGAAGGCTCTCTTTCCCAGCCTCCTCTCTTGTTCCTGTGAGTGGATATGGAACAATTCTGGCCATTGAGACCCAGGAGGAAGTCTGCTGAGAATTTCTGAACATTTTGCTTTTACGATATAGGCTCAACCACTTCCTCCCTGTGCCTTCTTGCAACCTGCCTGAAATGCCCAAGGGTTAGCCAAGCATTAGCTGGATGCTAGGATCAGAATGAGTTCAAAAACCAACCTTTCAAGGTTCATATGGACCGGCCATGTTTCTCATAGCATGTGGGACTGCTGTAATTTGGGGTATTTTACTTAAACTGTAAAATCATAGACCTGAATTCCAGGTACTACAATGTAAAAATGTGGAAATCTATACTAAAGTTTCTCTGATCTCTGCAGGTAGAAGAAAAAGGATGTGATCCCATTTTCAGGTGCAAAATATAATCAATCATTAACATGAGAGCTAGTCCCTTTCTCCCCCCATTAAATCCTCAATTCTCTAATGTCAAGAAATTACAATTGGCAAAAGATGATATATTTCTTAAGGGATTAACTGCAAAGGTGAAAGGTAGGCAGAGATAGCTTGGTGACCCCAATAACTTATGCTCCCTTTTGAGAAGTGGCTGCCCAGCTAGGGACAACACTTCTCAGCCTTCCATTGTTGTAAGGGGAACCACACGATGACCCCTCACCATTTAAATACAAGCCAGTCATGTGTGTCACTTCTGGGCTGAAGAGGTATGCATGAAGTCTTCATGAAGTCTCTTTCCCTCTGCCGGCTGACTCTGAGTGCCTAGAGGCAGGAGAAGCCAGGAGACAGAAGGATCCAAGATCCATACACAATCACATGGAAGGCCACCTGCCAACCAGGAACAACCACATAGAACTTTCCATGAGTAAGAAATACAACCTAATTGTGCTTAAGCCACCAAGACTTTTGGGTATACTTGGGGCTGAATCCAGTGTCATTCTAATTACTATAAAGGACAAAGACAAAAAAACCTCACATTTTACAGAGCTAAACCTGAGATAGCCGAAAAAGTACTAAAGCAATTGAGCTGCCCTAGAAATAATTAAATTTTCTGCCATTAGGCAAAAATGGGATATTAAAATAGAAATTAAATTAATTTATAGGAAAAGGAAGAAATTTCCAGTTTTGTTCTCCCTTGAGTGTGTGACTTTAAAACTCATACCCTCCGGGTACTAAATATACTTGAATTGTCTGTCTTCGGTCAGGCTGGATATAGTTTGCTTTTCTGCAAAGAATGCCTCTATTTACTCCTGTAGTGAAATGAGCACCATGTTCCATGTGGCTTTTCAGTATAGCCGAGGCTAGTGCAATATTCCATTTTTTTTTTTTCCCGAATAGGTTATTTCACGGTGATTGTGACTTGGGTTCAAGGTCAGCTATCTTCCATATAAAAGCTGAGTTTAATAGAGACTAAGAACGCCATCATTTTTCCTCCTAAGATCAGAGAGTTTCCAAGACAGTCTGGCCAGGAATTTTCTACAAGTTTCAAGTGAAACTTTTGATCTGAGGGGCCATCCTGTTCCAGGTCCTTTTAAAGATGTCAGTATTATTCCTTGTCCCAATATAAAGAACAACCTGTGGTTTAGAGAGACATTCTTGTGACCTAATAGGAATATGTCACATAGCCCTTCCATGGCCCAGCAAGAAGAGCCACATGCTTTTCAGTCTAGCTAATTCCGGCAAGACAACCGGCAGAACTGAAAAAACAAAGCAAAAACCTCTTTTCCAAATTAGTGAGACACCATTTTACTTTATAATTGCAGAAATTTCAAAGATAGAGCTTTAATTCGGTGTCCATTTCTTCTATAGTCAGAATATTTTTCAGAAAAAAACTACTTCAGACAACCTTATTTTGGGGGTGAGTATGAGGTGAAATGGCACATGGAATTATTTTCTTTTTTCATTCTGAAAAGTTTATCTTCAGCGTTCTCTTTGCATCTATTTGACTACAGTGTAATTATAAACCCATTACTACCCAAGTAATGTTCCATTGCAAAAGTAGGATAATTTTTTCCATAGAAGATCTGGATATCAAATGAGAAGCTTTTTCCTTCTTTTAGAAGATAAATCAACTTAGACTAAATGACCACACTGAATGCTTTATAATTTTACCAGAACTACCAAAAGTATATGCTAAGGGAGAATGGATACTAGGGAAGCAACCCCATTTGCCTTAAAAACAGAACCCCAGCTCTATTCGAAAATGCAATAGGCTCAGCTAAAAAGACAATTATTCTAGACTTCTCATTAGGAAGAGTGGTGTTTCTCACAGTTATGACCCGTAAGACATGAGTCTCAATGTGTATGTAATCAGGAAAGCTCTTGGAGAAAGAGCTGATTCAGGTGGAACTTGAGTTTTGCCCTTTGCACTTCCTACCCTCCTGCCTGAAAGGTACTCAGGATGCTGGAAGAGAGGCAGCCGTTTTGAAACCACAAGGCAACAAATCAGAGGATGAAAGCCATGTGCTGAGGATGGCGAAAAGGAAGGAAGGCTCAGACACCTGAAGACTGTGGATCTTGCCAGGACTGTGAAGTCCTACCTTAATGTCACTTAACCTAATGTCACTTGAGAAAAGCAAAACCTCTATTTGGTTAACCTAGTGAAAGTTGGATTATCTCTTAGGAGCTGCCAAACCTATATCAAGTTGATCCAACTAAATTACCAGGAGAATGCTATTTTTTTTTTAAATAAGAACAGTTTCCAAACAAGTATTTCAGAAGCATTCATTTACTCTGCCAATTATTAAGGGGCGCCTGGGTAGCTCAGTTGTTAAGCATCTGCCTTCGGCTCAGGTCATGATCCCAGGGTCCTGGGATCGAGCCCCACATCGGGCTCCCTACTGCACGGGAAGCCTGCTTCTCCCTCTCCCAGTCCCCCTGCTTGTGTTCTCTCTCTCGCTGTCTCTCTCTCTCTCTCTGTCAAATAAATAAATAAAATCTTAAAAAAAAAAACTACTCTGCCAATTATTAAGCTGATATATTCATAAATCACTTTTCTGTGTTCTTTAAAATGACTCCAAGGAACACTACTAAGGAATAGCATATGCAACCCTCATATACGGATCATCCTGAATGCATTTCACCCCTCCATTTATTTATTCAGTAAACATTTGTTGAGGTTTCCAGTAAGTACTGTGCTGGGGGCAGGATACAAGGATCAAGAAGTGCCTGACTACATGAGCTCAGTTTACTTGAAAAGTAATAAGACCAAATCTTTCTTAAAACATTCTATTTTCCGGTTCTTTGGTTTCTATGGGTTGTTTATTTCATGTACATTAGCTCCCCAAGAGAGGGAAAAGCCTAGCTCCACAGTCAACATTAACAAAATAAGATCTGAACTACCAACGTAGTGTCCATTGCCAAATGTTCAGAACCCGATTTCATAATTTGAAAAATTTAATTAAATGTTGTGTCAATATGTTCATTATGGTTGTGAGAAATACTTGAGTAAAGTTTTTCATTCCGTCCACTACCGAAATTGATTTTCTAAAATCAGACTGTTCCTAAAAGCAGATATTTAGTGCTACTTCACTTCGTTTTCTGTCACTTCTATGATTAAAAAAAAAAAAAAATCATTGTACATCAGGCCTTTACACCAGTACTAGAGGACAATTATTTACTGTAAGACGGTAGGCAAAACGCCAGTATCAGAAAAACCACTTTCCATTCGCCTCTTCTTCCGAGTCACCTGAAGCACATCATTGAACTTCTTTGTACCTCAGTTTCCATAGGGGTTAAATGATGGAGTGGAATTAGATCATCATGTTGTGTCGTAGACCTAAAATTCTCTTATTTCCCTGCTCTATTCTCAGTGTGATGCATTAGTAGATAAGTTTCCTAGCTAAGAGCAGCACATTAATAGTATTTTTAAATGATGCATGGCTTCTCTATTTCTGTTGCCTCGGGAATTATACATCTTAGCCCACATCCCGCATCAAACCACAATTTTGTATATAATTAAACAATATAATATCACCTCATATTAATAATGTCATATCACTGTACTCAGGATCAGAATATAGGGATGGTTTTATTATTTCTAGCTTTTAAGAACACAACTTGCATTGCACACACTTGAGATAATTGAAAGAAAATTAGATGGAGAATATGCTGTTTTTAATTTGCTGTTTAAACGTATCCTCCAGATATCTAGGAGTGAGTGTAACAAAGCTTATTTAAAAGCAGAGTGATCTCCTTGCCCCATTCTGAGAAATTGCTTTCAAAGTCTAAAAAAAGATTCATCGTTTACAAAATTTGAATGCTGAAATTCCTATCGTTTTAGTATCAACAATGGCAGTAATTAATGAACACATTTGACAGTTATCTGCACACCATCATCGAGAGGTAACCCGATTTTCTTATTACTTTCATGAAAATACCTGAACTGAGATGCATTAAGCACAACCAGTTTAACCCACCCCCTTCCGAATTTGATAAATCGAGATTTAAAATGCCGTTGTTTCACTTGCAAAAAGATGTTTTAGGAGCATAAACCCTCTTTACCACTCTTAACAGTTATCCTACAAACCAGCTCACACCTCCAGCTATTACTCCTAGTACACATACACATATTCCCCTATACTCACCACAATGAGTTAAAGGTAGACAAAAGCTTTCTCGGCGGCAGCCTTTGAGTCATTACTTTGCTTTACCATTCCCTTCATTTTAGGTGTCATGGCACAGTACTTTACAGACAGCCATGCACTCTAGCTTTGTTGCAAACACCGAGAGCGGTGTCTTGCACTTGCTGGAAAATTTAGCTTTTATGCTGCTGGTCATTCTTCCCACAAAAACAACACGACCAGTTTCCGAGCTATTCTTAACTCTCCTTCCAAAACATTTCAGAAGAGAAAGACCAGATTTCATGATTCGCATGCAAACTCCCAGCCTGCCTGCCTGCCTACTGTTGCCAGTACTTCTTACTCTTGCTGGAGATGACATTCAGCCAGCTCCCCAGCCCCGACGCTTCGTTATGTAAGGCTGTCTAGGTCAAGTGTAGGAGACCCACTGCTGGCCTGCGAAAACTCATGGAACTCTTCCTTCAGATTAACACTTCAGGGACTATGGAAGCTGGAGGAAGCTGAGCTTTTACTACATCTTTTGGGGGTAAATATTTTTGCATGATTCAGTGGTTTATATGCTCTAGTCTTGGCAGATGCCCGTCAGCCATGCTGAGAGGGACAGAGAGAAATTACTAAGGGAGTCCAGTTTTGTCAGCATGCTTGAACAAGCATAGGAAGCCTGGTGGCAATCCTAGTTTTAAGACACTTAAGGAGTAAATGAATCATAAATTAGAATTTGCTTATCAAGCATCTTCTCTAGCCCTCGAGGAATGAATGTTGCTTTGGCTTTTTAAACTCTGAATACAATCCGTTTGCTGGGAGGTTTTGCAGGAGAGCACTATTAGCTCTCAGAGATTTACTGCAGTTCTTGGCTGTTCTCTTGCCCTTGTCTGATGGCAAATTTGCTTTCCTTGTCCATAAGCTCGATGTGTGCCCGTATTTGTCTTCTGTTGTGATTGTTTGTGACAATATGAGAACGAAGCCTGCATAACCTGGCAGTTATGTGACTTCAACAAATAATAAATCGTGCCGACTTCGTTCTAAGGTGAATCCTGCAGTAAAAGCGCCATTTGATACTAGCACTGAATGATGTTGGGTTAACTGCTCTGGTTCAAACTGTGCTGTGTTCAGGGGCCTTGGAGGCATGATCCCAGATTTGACATGAACAGTTATTCACTCTGTGAGTAAAATTAGAAACAGTATAGCACTGATTCTGTTTTAGACTCTCACACCGTGTCCCGGTCCGGGAATTAGTTAAAAGAGCAGGCTCTTACTGAATGCGCAGAAAAGCCTGGAGGAGTAGCAGTCTAAGATTGCAGCAACGAATGATACTGGCAAGGAGTTTTAGTAACATTTAACCAGAGATCCTGGTACAACAGATGGCGCCTAATTTAAAAGATAGGTGGATATTTAAAAAGTTCAAGACAGAAGCAGCACATTTGAGAGGGCTTGGCTTCCTGTGTGCCCTCGGCCAGAGACGTTCAGTGCTTTGGACAGGATGTCGTGAGTTAGGGAAAAAAAGGTTGTGTAAGGAGTCTCATCATGTTTAAGAGGTAAATGGGAGGCTGAGTATTCAGTGACCATAAGTGAGGACCGGCGTGGGGCAATTAATGATAGCACACTCACTCACTAAGCAAACAGGTAGTTTTTAAGTATCTGCAATTTCTTGCATTATTTTTTATTAAATTACAGGAATGAAAAATGAATGTCGCCGGAATGAATTTCCTTTTGGGTACCTTTCACTCTGTTAATCATGACTAACAACAGTAGCACATTGATTATTTATGATGGGAATATATTGCTTATCATTTTATGCTATATTTAATTGATTAAACATGTACACGTTTTCCCAAATAATTTGAAGAGACAGTTATGATTCCTCAGGGCCCGATTTTATATTACTGATGTCAATAGGCATTGTCCCCATAGACCTAGCTTGGCATAAGAGCCCCAGCAGACCAGGTTTTACTCAGTTTGGCCTTCAGAATATTCCTCATACACATAATGTGAAAAACAATGCATGCCTATTTAGTCGTACTTACAATCTTTAGTTCATATATCTTTACAATAACACTGCCAGTACTCAATGTCTATAAATGATTTTTGTTTCAAAATCGATTTTTAATAGGGAGTCTTTTCTCTGTTAATGGAGCTTAAATAGTTATATTCATTGGTTCATTTCTAAAGTAAAAGATATGAGTTAAATGAGGTCTAAAGTTAGTTTTGGTTCTGCCATTTCTGGATGATTTTTCCTCTAAGTGTGAAGTAGCATTAGTAATTAATCTATGCCAAAGTGAGATTACATTTTTTTGGTGAGATTATATTATTAAGTGCCTTACAATACTAAACCAGCATTGACTGAGTAGCTACCAAATGCTAGGCCAGTGGTTCTCAAAGGGTGGCCTCCTGAGTAGCCACAGCACCATCTGAAAGCTTGTTAGGCATGCAGATTCTCAGGGGGTGGGGGGCAACTTATCTCTTAACAAGCCCTCCAGGTGGCCGTGAAGCATGCTAAAGTTTGAGAACTAGGCTGGGTAGAACTTTGGTTAAATATCATGAAAATCGTTTTTACTACATACAGTCAAATGTATGTTACATAATTGAATTCTCTATTTTTCTGGTGGCCCAAACGTCTCAATGTAAGTAGTACTATGTTTTAAGGATTTATGCTAGTGTTTAGTACATCTGCAGCCTAAATTTGTCCATAAGAAGCTTTATTTTCCAGCAGTTCCATTTTTAGCTTTTAGAAGTCACATACATAGTATGGTGGGGAAACAGTGAAGGACTTAGCCCTTCCAACTCTTCAGGAAGCAAGGAGTTCTTGCTCACTGTGTGACTTGGCCCCCATCACTGACCCTCTCCGATGTTCGGTTTCTCAGTTGTAAAATGCTAGGTTGGCCTATGTTAGGGTTTCTCAGCTCGGCACAATTGACATTTGCGGCCAGATGGTCTTTGTTGTGGGGTCTGCTCTGTACATCACATAATGAGCAACATCCCTGCCCTCTACCCACAAGATGCGACTAGCCACCCTCAGTTGTGACAACCAAAAATATTTCTAGACATTAAGACATCTTCCCCGAGGGCAAAATTGCCCCTCCCACCTCCTCATTCTCACCCCATCCACTCCCCATGTTTCCAAATCTGAGAATCACTGGCCTAGTTTAACTCCCCTTTGTAAAATTCTAGTATACTAAATAGCACAACAGATATATTATTTCTCCTTTTGGAAGCATGCAGGTTCAAACTTAATAGAATAAATAGATGTACGTCTCTGTTGTGTAAGCCATGTATAAGCTGAGGCCTCTTCGCCCCCTTGAAGATCTAGGTGTAATTTGCTCAAGTACCAATTCCATAGTCTGTCAAAGTCCAAAACACTTCTTCGGCTTCTCCGGGACTTAAAATCTCGTCTCACCCTCCGTGTCCTGGAGTCCTGGTTCTATGTATGCTACCTCATCACTCTTAAAAAGTGACCTAGATTCTAGCTGTCACGAGTTTCCACCAGAGATTTTTCTATACCAATCATCTTTGGGGCTAATAGATTTCACTAAGGATATGAGCTCTTCCCCTCATTTTTCCTCTCTCTCCCATCTCTGCTCCTCACCCGCTTCTTGCAGGATGTTCTGAGAGCTCCAAATTCTCCTTCTGGTGTACACAGCAGACCAGCTTTCCATGGCTTTTATATCCAGATGTAAATGCCCAGACCCATCAAAGAGCTTAGAAGATCAAGGGTCTCCAGTTTAGAACCATCTTCCTTTCATGGAAGGCAGTTGGGGTTATATTATATAATCATAAAATCATAAAGTCATGGGACTGGAACAGGTATCTAACGTAAGTTCATTTATCTGTCTTTAGAAGTCATACTAAATAATAGCTCTTGGCCCTTAAGATTACACATTTGCCTGCTGGTATCTCAGAATTTTAATGATATCTGCCCATGAATTGTTACCTCAAACAGTTCAGCAATTCAGTCCAGACATTTTCTGGAACTGATATGCATGGTAAAAATAGATAAGCCACACACCACTCACACACACATGCACGCACGCATATTTTTTCCCAAGTGTTAGAAATTCTTTTTAGGACAATGTACTACAAACTCAAATTGTACCCTAAGATATTTGTGAATTAAGGGACTTAATCTAAAATGTGGATATAAAAGGGACTTAATCTAAAACGTGGATATAAAAGAAAATGTGTTGGACAGCTATATCTTGATTAATCAAAAATAACAGCTTATATTTGAATGATTATATCTGCATTTCCAAGTAATTTTATAGACATGATCCTTTCGGAGACCCACAGCAACCCTAAACAATAGGTCCCATTACTATTATCATTTTACAGACAAGAAAATAAAACTGAAGATCTTCAGATGCCAAATCTACTTCTCTTCCCACTATTCCATAGGCAAGACTCAATAGTGTATGTAGTTTGAACACAATGGAGAGTATAATTCCTAAGTGTTTTTTGATAAAGACTTATTTCAAGAGTCTTTCTGCTCTAAAGTCATTCAGAGAGAATAAGGGTTGATATGTGTTACCAATTCTTTGTTTTAGTTGCTAGGATTCAGACATTTTCCCTGACTTATTTGTATAATATGTTTAATTAATTGTACTTTATATGTATTACTAAGTACTTAACGGAACAATTTCAACATGCCATTTATTATACTAGTTACAGTAACATGTATTATGTCACTTAATGCTCTCAAAATGTCCAAGAGGATGGGATTATGACCCCTCTTAAGAGATGACCCTGGGGGCACCTGGGTGGCTCAGTTGATTAAGCGTCTGCCTTCGGCTCAGGTCATGGTCCCAGGGTCCTGGGATCAAGGCCTGCATCGGGCTCCTGGTTCAGCGGGGAGCCTCCTTGTCCTCTCCCCCTGCTTGTGCTCTCTCTCTCTCTCTCTCTCTCTTTCTGTATCTCTCTGTCTCAAATGAATAAATAAAACCCTAAAAAAAAAAAAAAACCTTGTTTAAGAAAAAAAAGAGAGATGACCCTGAATTCAATTTAACCTAAACTTGAGCTTTAGCAGAGTTACTGCACTGACCCAGCCGTCAGCTCTGTCTCCACCAGCCAAAGTGGAGCCATAGCCACAGACCATCTCTTTCCACTGCTATGCCCAGTACAAGGCACAGTGCCGAGCATATGCTAAGTCTTAGTGAATACTTGTTGAATGGATGTTGAATAATTATAATTGCTACCTAGCTCCTTTATATTTTGTGCTTTCATAACATCATTCACCCCCGTCAATTAAATAGCAACTTGCAAATGAGATCCAGAGTTAAAAATCAAATTCCCAAAGGAAGAGGTAGGTTCACTTAAGGCTACAATACACTTGGAGCTCTTTGCAACTCAATCATTCATGCTACTCTCTTTATTTACCTTAAGAAAAAAATCTTTTGGGTTTGATATAGAGACTTTCTCAGACTTACAAAGTGAAAAATTGCTTCCAACCTCAAGTAGGAAGTCTTGCTTTAAAATACTAGTTTCCCAACCCCAGAATCACACAGTCACTTCCAGCTTTATTTGATCTTAAAGTAA